GCGTGGATAACATAATATTATGATTATGCATGGTTGACCTTTATCTAATTACAATGTTCAATTGCATAACCTACATTCCTTGGCATCACGTGATGAATCATGGCAGAATTAGGGAAGGCAAACAACGGTGCAACGAACAAATGATTGAGGAGCACTCCGACTAGAAGGACTCCTGTAAATAGGCCTAACAGATGTCCTGCTGTCTCTGCTGCTTCCGTCAAAGGTATTCAATTAGTATAGCGGCGTGGTGAACAGAAGGAGAAGGTTTTCGAGTCGAGGCTGTTTCTCGGGACCATCATTCATTGCATAGTAAGTCAAAACTTTTTGTTTTAAACTTTTAATGTTGTGGCCTTCTATTTAGTATGTGATAACATCTCTTAAGCACCAGTCCACTATTCCTAACTTTTAATTTTGTGGCGTTCTATTTGGTTTGTGATAACATCAGTCCACTTTTCCACCTAGTTCCACCTGTGTGTTACTACTTCATGTACAATTACAGCTGGCTCTTATTAACTCACCTCTATGTGGTGAAGAGGCTGCTTTCTGAACGATTTCAAGTTGAATCTGTTTTTCAGTCATTCAATAGTAAGTCATAACTTTTTGTTTTCAACTTTTAACTCTACATGGCAATGACGGCCATATTTACCTTTGACTGTAAATATTATAATTTTGCCACGTAATTTTTGAGCTGGTTTTCTGATAACGTACATGTTTGTGAATGTATGCTTGTTTGTATGTGTATTTATGTAGTAGCTTATAGTAATATATTAGTAGTTGATAATGATGATATTTGTTTAGTGTTCAAATGTAGTTGTGACTCAAGTTATGCTTTATAAGTTGTCTAATATCATTGGTGAAGTAGTGATATGACTATCAATCTTAATAATATTGTTAATATTTATTTTTGCCTTTTTGTTTTGTTCTTCTTTGTTTGTACTTTTTTTGTCTCCCTATTGTATCTCTAGTGTTTTGTGTCTTGGGCCACTATTTTTATGAATTTTATTACATAATAATAATAATTTAATAATAGTAATAATAATAGTAATAATAATAAGTCCCACTTTAATATTAACAGTGCATAAATTGGGTTTATTTTTGCACTGTT